TGTGGTCTGAGAAGACGCTTTGTGGTATTTTGATGTTTAAAGTTTATGGAGACTTGTTTTGTGGCCTAACACACGGTCTATTCTGGAGAATGTTCCATGTGCACTGGAAAAGAATGTGTATTGTTCTGCTGTTGGGTTGAATGCTCTGTACATATCTATGAGGTCAAGTTGGTTAATTGTGTTGTTTAGTTCCTCTTTATCTTTGTCAAGTTTCTTTCTGGTTGTTCTATCCTTTTTCAAAAGTGGCATATTAAGATCTCCCACTAGTATTGTAGCTTTGTCTGTTTCTTTCTCCAATTTTAGTAGGGTTTGCTTTATATATCTTGGGGCTCTTTCATTGGGAGTATAGATATTTATTATGGTTCTGATACCATTTCTGGTCCTATATTTTCTGACTCTCTAGTTTGTCACTTGCTTGAGGTACTCTGTCTTGTTTCTTTGTGTAAACTGAAATTGTCTATTTTCTCTAAGATATTGTGGTATTGTATTTATATTTACTTGATGAATGTATATTGGTGTATTCTCAGCTACTCACCAGCTGTCTCTTGATGGATATGATAGAGACCAGAAGTGTGAATACAGTTAGTTCTCTGTTTACCGTTAGTATTCAAGGTGTATTCACACACATCTAAAATCAGATTCACAAAAACTATCAGACTTCTTGATCTCACAGACTGAAGGACTCTCTGACTGTGGCCCTTCTGACCTGTCACTGAAGCTCTTCCAGAAACCAGCTTTCAGACAGAAGTGATCTAGAATTCACCACTCTCTCTTCCTGCTAAGGAGTCCTTGTGTGGAGCTGTAGGATAAGCACTCGACTATAAATTCAGTTTGAACCACAAGGTTGGCGGTTCAAACTCACTGGTGGCTCCTTGGAAAGCTTATACAGAGTCGCTATGAGTGGGAACTGATTCGACAGCACTTAACAACAACCAAAATAAACAAAAGTACCCAAAAGGAAATTGCTCCTTAGAAAAATCAATTATACAAGATCAAAAGAACTTACCTTTGTCCAAAGGCACAGATGAGAAGCCAAAAAGGTATAGACAATTATTCATATCATAAGATACGGGGACAGGAGGTTATGAGATCATATTTCTGTAAGTTAAAGATGAATGCCAAGCTGTTAATGATTACTCCTGGTGGAATTATCAGAGATTTTAATTTAATTATATTTTTTCTATATATTTTTAATTTCCTATAAAGAACAGTTAGAAGTTATTCTTTTAAACTTTATTAACCCCCTGCCATCAAGTTGACTTTGACTCCCGGCAACACTACAGCACAGAGCAGAACTGTCCCATGGAGCCTCTAAGGCCATAATCTTATGGAAGCAGACTGCCACAACTTTCTCTAGTGGAGCAGTGTGTGGGTTTGAACCAGCAACCTTTCAGTAAACATCTGAGCACTTAACCACAGAGCCACTTGGTTGTTGTTGTTAAGTGCCATCGAGTTGGTACCAACTCACAGTGACCATGTGTTGGGTTTGAACCACGGACCTTGTGGTTCATAGTCCAATGCTTATTCCTAGGGCTCCTTAAACTGAGTTAGGTGTGAAAATTAAGATTCACGACTATTACTAATTTTCATTCTCTCCAACCTCGAAATAGGCAGCAAAGTGATGGAGAATGGTCTTCTCTTCAAGGAACTTCTGCAGACTCCAAATTTTCGGATTACAGTAGTTGATGATGCGGACACTGTTGAACTTTGTGGCGCTCTTAAGGTAACGTCAGCCTTGTTATTCCTCCTCCAGGAGAGGAGTTCATCATGCCGGGCAAATGTTAGCATTATTGAATGGAGTCCTGAAGAATGGACTCTGTGTTCTGTGGACTCATTTCAGGGAAGAATAGTGAATTGAGAGCCCTGTTTAAAGCTTCCTGTTCTGTCACAGTCTTTCCTGGGTGGATTGTGCTTACTTGTATTTGTAGATCTGGAAGAATTATGGTGTCTTGTTCGTTGAGAAATTGGCACCATTAATAGTTGGACATCATTGAAAATGCCTTGATTGTAGGATTTTATTCACTGTTCATTCACTCATATATTTCTGTTATTTTGAGCAGGAAAAGGGACTTGTTTCCCTTGAATTAGCCTACTGTCTTGGTTTGGTCTGTTCTTTAAAAAAAAAAACACACACAAAATTCCTGTTGCCAGTGAAGGTTTGTCTAAGAAGTTGTATCTTTGCTGATAAAGGAAAACGATGAGATTAAAGAAGCAGTATCTAGTGATCAGTGACTTCTTGTTGCTAAGTGCCATCATTCAAGTCGATTCTGACTTATAACAACCCTGTATAGAGTTTCCAAGGAGCAGTTGGTGAGTTTGAACTGCCGACGTTGTACTTCAAACTAATCTTGAGGCCGAGTGTTTATCCTGCAGCGCCATACCAGGGTAAAAAGAAGGGTTTCTGGATCTGTGCACCAGACTTGTTCGCTTTTGTCTTTTGAAGCCTTGCTCACAGTCCCTCGCTCTGCCCTGACTCTGGGACTGGGCAGCAGTTACCTTATCTTCTCCCCTTGAAATCTGTGGTAGTTGACATCTACCAGAAAAAGAAGGAGAGGAAAAAAGCGCTCTCAGTGTGAAAAAGAGCCCCTTTCAGTCACTGAGTCATCTCCTTTGCAGCAAAAAGCAAAAAAAAAAAAAAAAAAATCACTTTTCTTGGGAAGTTAGACGTTTTAGACAACTTGACACTCACCTAATTTTCTAACTTTCTCAGGTGAGAATTGCAGAGATTGAAAAAAAAAGCTAAGGAGGCCTAAGTCCAAAGAATGCCTTGCTATTCTTTCTGATAATTTTTTTTTTCCCTTGTCAATTTTAAACCAGCTTCTCAAATGAATATTGGGTGTAATGGTCACTTGTCCTAATTCATTGAGAATTTAAAAACTTAAAGCCAATTAAAGGTTGGGCTCCCGGCCAACATCCACCCATATTTTCTAAATGCTCATATGGACCATGCTTCACACAGCATGCAGGCCCTGGTATACATTTTAAATGCTGGCGGTGGCTGCTTTGTTTATTTTTGTTGGTTGCAATTTTTATGTGTTTTTAATAGTACTTCATTAAACTAATGACCGCTCAGCAGCAGGGGGCATCCTGAATGCCTAATTGCTCAGCACTGGGCTCTGCATCTCCAAAGCTGTTTTTAAGTGACTGGGTATTTTTGGTGTTCTAGAGAAAAGCTGTAAAGCTCTACTCAGATCGGAGGTTTCTGGATGAGATGACAGATTCTGTATTGAGAGCTCTGGAAATTTTTCTGCTAACAGAAGTCTTATGTGTGGACTTAGAATTACGGTTTATTTTTGCTGGCAGGAAGCCTGTAAGTGACTTTACCCCTCCTACCACAAGGTCAGTGGTTGAAACTCACCAGCTGCTCTTTGGAAACAGGATCACTATGAGTCAGAACCAAGTAGACGGCATTGAACAACAGCAATCATTATAGGTGGCTCTGGACTTGAGAACCACAAGTTCTGAGGTTCGAGCCCATCAGCCACTCTGCAGGAGAAAGATGAGGCTTTCTGCTCCCTCGAAGATGACGAGCTTCGGAAACGTTATACAGTGGTGACTGCATAAATTGGAACTGACTTGATGGCACTTAACAACAACAACAACCACCATTATGGGAAAAGGGAACCCTGTTGGCACAGTGGTTAAAGCACTCAGTTGGCAACTGACAAGTCACAGTTCTAATCCACTAGCTGCTTTGCTGAAGAAAGCTGTGGCAGTCTGCTTCCTTAAAAGCTACAGACTTGGAAACCTCAGAGGACAGTTGTGCTTTGTTTTATCATGCTGTTATGAGTCAGAATTCACTTAATGGGTATGGGTCGACAACTTGAAATTAAGGAGCTTTGGTGGCTCAGGGGTTAAGTGCTTGACTGCTCAGTGAAAGACGATTGAAACAACCGAACACTGTAGGGAGAAAGTTGTGGCAGACTGCTTCCATAAAGATTTACAGCCCCAGAAACCCCGTGGGGGTAGTTCTACTCTGTCCTGTGAATTCGCTATCATTTGCAATGGACTGGATATCAAAAGACACCATTATGGAAAGTGGTTCATGGAGGATGGAGGCAGATGGAACTGAGTTCCATTTCTCATCCTTCCTCTGGCTAGCCTTTGAGATGGAATCCGTTACTATGATTCCTATCTGCTTTTAAGAGAATTGGGGTTTTTGAAAAGTAGGAAACAGGCACGTTGGCAGTAATTGAGTGAAGCCACTGCAGCATATAGATAAGGAGATGGAGATCCAAAGAGAGTAAATGACTCTTGAGTAGCAATTATTGGCACAGTTGGGGTTTGAATGCATTGCTTCCAGAGTCTTAATCCGGTGTTGTTTGGTTGCTATGTAGTCCTTGGCTTCTGTCTGGTTTGTATCCAGGCGCCTGCCAACGCAAGAGGAGTGAACCTATGCAGCTCTCATTACGTAAGAAATGCTTTTGTTATGTGGTTGGTTTCCTGATTACAAAACTGATGTTATGGTGTTCACATAGCACAACAGTATAAAGAAGAAAGGAAAAGCACCATAACCCCAGTGCCCTGAGATGCTCACTACTGATGTTTGCTGCCTGTCCTTCTAAACTTCTTAGCCAGTGTGCGTAGGTGTGTGTCCTCATTTTAAAACAAAACAAAAAAAAACAAAAGCGAGAGCTTACTGTTTGAGTAGTTTGACACATAGTTTCACTTTTTGCACATTAACAATGTGTAATAATCTTCCTTCATATTATCCAACAATGAACAAACATAAAGACTGCATTATCTGTTTTATGCTCAAAGACAGGAGGTAATTTCACTTACAAGAAAATAAAGCTAACAGCTCACTATAAGGGTAGAAGGTTTTGCAAGTGGAAAGGAACTATGTGTAGTCATTTAGCACCAGTGGTCTTACTGCTTCAGCATGTTCCTTTCCTCTTAGCTAATTTAATGTCTTCTTCAGGAAGGTTTCTCTTTTTTCTTTTTGAATCGAATTTGTAGAAGTATGATTTATGTCCATTACACTGAATCCATTGAAAGTATACAACATATACAATACAGTGAATGTTGGAAGTTGTGTATATAATATGCCTACAAAGTCACCAACCACCACATCTGCCTCCCTTGGTAGCAGAGTGGAAAAAAAAAAAAAGGACAAAGGACATTTGGCAGCTATCTTTTAAAGAATCTTCCCAGAAGTCAAACCAAATCCTTTGGCTTTCCCTCATTGAACAGTCCTTAATCATGTGACCATACCTGGCTGCAAGGGAAGCTGGAAACAGTCCCTTTTTCAGGGCTACCATGTTTTTGGATTAAACTTAGGAGCTCCCCTACTTTGGAGGATTTCCTGCATGTTGCAAACTGTCAACATACTTGACTGCTAACTGAAAGACTGGAGGGTCTGACCCACGCAGAGGCACCTTGGAAGAAAGGTAGTGGTCAACTTCTGGAAAACCATCCATTAAAAATCTTGTGGGGCACAGTTGTTCTCAGACACAATTAGTTAACTGGATTATTACCCTGAGAGAGGGGAGAAGGAATTGAGGGATAAACCAGCAGTCTTTCCCACAGGTGCATGACATTCCATTGTCGCAGAGTTCTGCAATGGGGTGGTGCTTGGTTCTGACTCAGAGTGAACCCTATGTACAGCAGAATGAAACACTGCTGCCCAGTTAAGTTTGCAACATCCTCACAGTTGTTGCTGTGTTTGAACACATTGTTGCACCTTCTGTGTCAATCCATCTCATTGATCATCTTCCTCTTTTTCACTGACTCTCTTCTTTACCCAGCATGTCCTTCTCTGGAGATTGATGCCTCCTGATCACTTGTCCAAAGTATGTGAGGACAGAGTCTCACCATCCTTGCTTCCCAGGAGCATTCTGGCTATACTTCTTCCAACACAGCTTTGTTCGTTCTTTTGGCAGTCTATGGTATATTTAATACTCTTTGCCAACACCACAATTCAAAAGCATCGGTTCTATTGTATTGCCTTCCTGATTCATTGTCCCACTTTTGAAGTAGGGTTAAAAAGTCAAACCTATTGCCCTCAAGTTGATGCAGACTCATAATGACCCTATGCTATAGAATGCAGCGTAATACTTGCTGCCCCTTAGGGCTTCCAAAGCTGTAGGCTTCATGGAAGCAGATTGACACATCATTCTCCCTTGTAGCAGCTGGTGGGTTTGAACCACTGTTAATAGCTGAGTGTTTAACCCACTGCACCACTAGGGCTCCTGCAGTGAAGTTGTTGTTGTTGTTAACTGCGTTGAGGGACTTAACAGCTGTGTTCCTAGTGTCTCTAGTCAGAGCCACTGCAAGACCCAAATTAATTTGAATTTCATTTAAAAATCAGTTTCTGGATCACAGAAGACATGTTTCAAAGGCTCTGTAGCTGCATATGGCTAGTGACTTCTGTATTGGACAGGGTGGATATAAAACATTTACATCACTGCAGAAACTTCTATTAGACAGTGGGGCTAGGAGAGTCTCATATCAGGGGCCCAGCCTGTTGAGCCAGGGTGGGCTTGATCTCAAGCCCTGCTTGCCCTCTAAACTAGACTACCTTACTCCAGGCCAATCTACAAAACCTGAACTCTGTAGATAGATATTCCCCTTAGGCTAAATGTGGGGGGAACTAGCCTAGGAAATAGCCAATGCTGACTGTGTGGGGAGAGTTTGCATAACCTTTAGGTAGCAGGAACTCGTTCTCAGTTTTATGATCTCTGGGACAGGATTTGAGTCCTGTCTAACCTGCCCCAGTTCCTG